AAATGTGACATGATATTTAAAACTTTTATACTGTACTTTCTATATGTGGATAATACAGAGCACACTTGTAACCTTCACAGTTTCTAAATTATATGTTTTTGTGTTTATTTTTGACCAATAAATCATTAAGTTGACATTGAAGACCTCATTGGATGTAAGGCAAATTTGAATGGATTGTTAACATGACCCACCTCTACACCTGTACAAGGTTTTATAAGATGATATAAGATAACCTTTATTAGTCCCACACTTGGGAAATGTGTTGTTTCACAGCAGAAAGTGGACAGTGCAAAGTTACAGTAGCAAAAATGAAGAAAAACACTGGAATAGGATAAGATAATAAAAATAAGATACTATGTACAATAGAATATGTTATATTATGTTATGATGTCAGAAAAAGAGGATTGCACTTAGTGTTATTGCACATGTGTAGATGTGTGTGTTTGGTCAGCTGTGAAGTCCTTGTTGTTGAGTCTGACAGCAGTAGGAAGGAAAGACCTGTGGAATCTCTCTGTCCCACACCGTGGGTGCCACAACCTGCCACTGAAGGAGCTGCTCAGTGCTGTCAGAGTCTCCTGCATGGGGCGGGAGATGTTGTCCAACAGGGAAGACAGCTTAGCCACCATTCTCCTGTCACTCATCACCTCCACTGGGTCCAGAGGCATCCTAGAAGACAGCTGACCCTCCGGATCAACCTGTTCAGTCTCTCCCTGAGATTTATTGTTTACAGACAGAAAGAATGACACACGCACACACACATGTCGTCTTTGGCAAATATAATAAGACAAAAAGCTGAAGTTGCACTTATTGCTGTCCTCATTCTGCTTTATAATTTATCTTTCCTTGCATGTTACATGTTTGAAAAGGTTTTTTTTTTATTTTGGGCTTGTTTTTTTTAGACTGCTCAACCAAATACTCTATACAAAGTCTGCATATTTCATATAAGCTATAATCTGACCCAGACTATATATGGGCCATTAAGTAAAGAGAATTTATTGGTTCAAGGTTCAAGGTTCTTTATTTGTCACATGCATAGTTATACAAGTATAACACACAGTGAAATGTAACCTGACACGCTCCTCGACATGTGCAAAAATTGGGGGGTAGGGGAAGAACATTATATATATATATAGTATATACATTGGGTGAATGTGCAGTAGTAGCAGCAAGCAGGTGAATTCTGTACATTAATAAGAATAGACATCTGACTATTTTACAGGATAGACAATATAAGCATATTTAAAATTAAAGGAATTGAAATGTACATTGTGCCTGGTTTAGAGTGTCTGGAAGAGTCCTGTCTCAGTCAATTAGAGATGATGTGAGAGGGTGGGTGTGGGTGTGGGTGTGTGGCTTGGGGGATAGAAGCTCCTTGGTGAAAGAACCCATTTCTTCTTCACTTGCACCTATTATGAGAATACTAGTATTTCATTTAAAATGCTTTATTCACTTTCACATTGATAAGTTGGTGGGTAACTGTGCTTTAGCTCTAGGTATTTAGTATTTAAAAGCACCACCTGGATGTTTAGTGATAGAACTGTGATGTTTAAGTAGTTCATAAGACCGAAATGTGTCACCCTATATGAGAGTACTGAAAAAAACATTATTTTAGGTATTCACAGGTGATCCTAGCTTCTCCTATAAATATATACAGTTATAACAAATTTGCTTTGTTCTGTGCAAACATGTAATAACTCCACAGCAAACCACTGTGAAAAAGAGCCTTTGGGTTTTAACCATAGTCTGTGGCTGTCTTTCCTGTTGTCGCAGTGTCAGAGGTGTCACCTAATCAGCGTGATAATAACCCCCACCATATTAATCTCGTAGGACCTGGCGTCCACATATGTGGACATCACATTTTGGGTTATTTAGACCAAAGTACTCAATTTTGCTCTACAAGGGCCTGATATCCTTTTACGAGGACATTATACTGCTACTGTTCTATCAACATTTTAAATGAATACCCTCATATGTGGCTCTTATTTTTCTTAAAAACAAAAGTAAGGTAAAAATAAATAAATAAATAAATCTGGTAATTCTTTGTTTTTACATGCCCCAATATGCCCAAATATCAAAGAGAAATTAAAAATGCATGCCGTGGAAGAGTTCGGGTCTTAGGAGGTTAAAACTATGGTGCACACAGTAAATCATCTGCCCTACAACACTAACAAAACAAAACTGCATCTTCAACTTGACCCCGTAGATAGCTCTGGCTCAGTGAGGGACATGCGGTTTGCTGGCTGTCCGCCAGAGGGCGCAAGTAAAAAAAGCAAAAGATGCCGCACAGTCAAAAGGAAAACGAAAAAGAAAGTACCGGAGGTGTTTCTTATTTGTGTTGCTGTCATCTTAGCAGAAACTACAGGTAAGATGTTGTTGAGCTACAGAAATGTGCCTTCCTGCATATTTAAACTATGTACCATCGCCGTTTCACATGCCACTAGCGTGTTAGAAGAAAAGAGACTGGCTAAGGTTGTTTTACTTAGCAGTGTTAGCTAAACATGACTTAGTGTTTGGCCTCGTGTTAAGCTTTTAAAACGGACACTCAAGTGAAGGTTGAGACATCTTGATAAGGTCTGCCACTGAAAGAGGCTCCTTTCTGTGGGGCAGCAATAATGTAACAACTTGTATCCCGCTGTTGCTAAGCCACGAAGCCCATGAATCTGAATCCCATTCAAATATTTGGATTTTTTCATTTGGTTTAGTTGTATGTCGTACGTGGCTGTCCCATTTTAATAATTTTCATGCTACAGCCAGATGTTTAGGGTCTTTCCTTTTATTCGGCGTACATGTTTCGCCTAAGTGTGTTTTAAATTTAATCCAACGTTAACTTGAACTTTGAAATGCTGCAATGGTGGTGTGTTCGTTTATCTGAGGAAGCAGTGCACACAACTTGTTTTAAACGTTTAATACTGGAAGCAAACCCAGTTTCATTGTTTTTAAAGTTTGCAGCGTTAATAAATATATCCAACACTATTGTATATTAAAAAGCAAAAGGTTGTAGATCAGTAGAGAAATCAAAATTGGATTATATCTCTCCATATGTTTTTAAGTATTGTATTTATAAAAGCCATTTGAGTTAGGTGCTGTCAGAGTCTCCTGCATGGGGCGGGAGATGTTGTCCAACAGGGAAGACAGCTTAGCCACCATTCTCCTGTCACTCATCACCTCCACTGGG